TACGACCGTTGATAAATAACGCGACGGAACAGAAAGAGGTTTTTTGTTTATTTTTATAAGAGATACGATGCGTGGTACAAAAGATGAACCAGTCGTGGAACAAACCGTGACTGGTCGTGGTGTAACCGCGGTCAGTAGCACTTGTGAACGAACGTCGGTCGTGTGGGACGAACGTTGCCACACTAGAACAGCTGCAAGCTCTGCAGTGACATTATCACATGTATAATATTTTAGAAAGTTCGTCATCGATTTAATGATAATAATATAATTGTAAATTACCATTATAATTTATCAAATGATAAAACATCTTATTTTTGTATAATAGTTACAATTTTAAAATTAGGGGCACCAGAAATTTTGGTATGGGCAGTCGCCCACCCTGCCCATATGCTAGAACCATCACTGGTATTCGCATTTAGTGAACATGACAGAATAATAGCGGGTATGACGAAACCAAAAAAACGGTCCTCGGGTTGTATTACTTTTGGCAGTCCACCGAGCGAGGGCTGTTGTATTTTTTGACTCGAACCGATCGGCATTGCACGGTTCAAAAATATTGTTGCGGAGATCAATACGCATTTATGATTAAAAAAAAAGTTGTTGCGAAAATTTCAATCGGTAAAGAATGTCGAGAGTAAAACGATTTTATCGTATAGATACCCCCCCCCCCCCTTCTACCGTTTTAATGGATTGCAGTCGGATGTAATATCCATACGTAAAGCGACGCGTCTGAAAAGGCAGCGGTGTCTACGGAAATAAAAAAACATCGAATGAATTCGTACGCTTGTTGCGTACGATCGGTTAACTTTCGAGTGTTTTATTATTTTCGTTTCCGATCGATGTTTCGCTTAACATCCGGACTCTTCGACTTCCGGTGAACGAGGACGGGGATAGGATGGGGCGTTATTATTTTTGAACCCTGTCAACGGGATTGCACGCGTGTCGCGAACGACTACGCCGAAACCGAAGGCGAATCGCGTACTGCACCGGTCAATAACGTTTCGAACGACAATCAACGTGACTGATATTCACGATTGACCGTGTATGTGTATGAAGGATACTGACTGACAATTTTATGATTGATGAAATTCAAACGTGCTACACTTCAACATCATCTAGTATTTGTCAATTATGTACTTATCATCAATATATTATTAGGTAATTGATATAATTTACGAGAACCAAGTTTTATTTCGTTGCTTACAAGATGATCATCATTAGCGCTTTAAAGAATTTTTTAAAATAACGTGAATGACAACGTTTCTCCTACATTGAAATACAAGCGCAATGCGTTTTATAAAACATAAAATCATATGAAAATAAAATAACCCAAATCAAAATGATAATAAATCAAAACATTTTACTTACGATTTTTCTGTACTGTTTTATGATTTAAAATATAAGACTTGTAAATTTAAGAATTGGACACAAATATTCTGGGGTATATCTTTCAAGTCATTTCCCTCTTTATCGAACCCACAGGTAAAAACTGAAAGTTTTAGTATACAAGGATATGAAGTTATAAATTTCAAGTTTTTTACCAAAAAAACGTTTCTAAATCTTTTATATTATCGCAGGTACAAACTTTTAAACATGCGGTACAAATTCGAAAAAAAAAATAAAACCATTATTTTTATTTATTTTATGACCAATAGTAAGATTTATGAACTTATGAAATTTTGGTCTCTATATCTCTATCTATCTATCTATATATTGCAGTATTTACCATTTGATTCGTATCTCGAAAATGTTTTCATAGGTACATGAAAATGGTTGAGATTTTGATTAAAGATAGATTATCAGATTAAGCGTAAAGAGCCGAATTACTTATATGGGGAGGGGCTGAATTCTTGATTTTATTATTCATCTAGTGGTTTCGTCAATATTATAAATATTTTAGCGCCCCGTGCAGTAGTCCTATTTTGCGACGCGCTAACTGCGTGTGTGCATGTGTACGAAATAAAATAACATTCACATGAAACTATATAATATTATATTAACCACGCTTACTCGTGTAATAGATTAAATGATCGGTGTGGGGGCATACGTTCATTACGTTGATTAACAATAGTGTACATAGAAAACGAACCAATTGATAAAATCGAACAACGCGTTTGATTTTCGTCCATCGCAGGATATTATTTTTCGACGGCAATTTGTAAAATTCGGTGAAAAGCATTTGCTTGAAGGCTGAACACCAATTACATTAGATAATAGTTTGTTTTTTTTTAGATTGAACAGAAAACATTATAAGACATGAAGCTCATTAGAGTTAAACCAGTGGCGTAATTATGGGGGGGGGGATATGGGGATATATCCCTCCCAGACCTTTTTTTTTTTTTTACAAGAAAATTGTATAGCTCATAGTTAAAATATAACACTGATAAATCTACAATTTATGACTCTAGATTAGTGTTAAAAGCATGAAATATATCAAAAAAACGTAAAACATTGAAATTTGTCTAATACAAATATTATTACTAGTTATTTATCAATTATTAATTATATAATCTAAAAGTTCTTACAATAATCATTGATATTAATGGAATGAGTACAGTGGTTGATATATTATTACTATATTGATTATTCTTGTTTTCGATTAAGCTAGGTAAAACTTCGATAAAATTTGGGGTATTTCCCAAATCCCAGGAAATTGCTTATCGACAACATGCGACGTCAACACACAATGTATTATTATTCTAATGGTATTATTAGATATTGTTCTATTCTGTGGTATTAACTTTTTTCGAACATTACATTACTGTAAACGTTGAGCAACAGTGCAAGTGGAACACCAATCTCCATTATTATTTATATTATAATAAAATAATATTTTTTCTTTAACTGTGATCTGTGGATGTGTGTCTATTGTTTTCTATTATTTAATATATATTACTAAATTACATATTAAATTATTAAATAAAAATGAAAAGACAGTCGAATGCTTTTATTTCTTTTTTTAAAAAAAAGTTAAAGAAACTGATGAACAGAACAGCTTGTCAAAATGTGATTCAGATCATGACCAACCTAGTAAAGAAGTAAGAACTTGTGGTAATAAAGTTGAACAATTTTTTGAAATAATCTAAATGTTCATACATTTATGTATTTTTAATTTTTATGTAAATTTATAAAATTATTTATATACATTTAAAAATCAATAACACAACATCCTGTAAGTACTAAGTTAGGAAAAGTTTATGATTAAAACTTAACATTTTTAATTCTTAAGTTTATTTGTATGTTTTGATTTGGATATTGCTTCTATTTGGTTATTTAGTTATAAGCAAATATGCAATAATATGCTATTATTTATTAGTACATATTATGATATGCTTGAAATATGCTACATAATATCATATTATAGCTTAATATACTAAAATACATGCTTTATTCTTCTTACATTTTAAGATTCAATGCTTAAGTAGCAATGTACAGTACCATCAAAATGATATAGGTTTATTTGTTCATAAACATGCTTTGGCTGATGAAGATAAATATCTTGTAAGTAACCAATACTTGTTAGGTATATGCCTACTAAACATTAATTTAATTTTTTCATAATACTTGGCTAATTTAAAAAATGTAACTGTTGAAGATATTTTTTTTATTTATTCATATTTCAGAGGTTCTTACAAATGTATGGGTACCACAGCAAAATTATAGTTTTCCGATAACTGATAAAAACAAAAACCGTGGTCTAAGATTTCAATACAAATGGCTGACTGAGTTTGAATGGCTACAAAATCTCGTGGTATAAATAATCAGCCGTTAGGTCAACTTGCTGTTAGGGCCTTAGATGAATGGAAAAATGCCAAGCAGGTTTTTATAATATAGTACTTTTTAATGTTTACAGTATATCTTATTAAATTGTTATGAATGTATTTTAGATTTTTCGTGAACATTCTAAAAAGCTTTATCATGGATATTGTGTCGTGGACTCTAACCATTTTCTTAATGTTTATTCTAAACAAAAATTATCAATCGTTAATCAGTTAGATTTAGAAAGGTTGGTACTGATTTACTAACCATGTTTTTTTTTTGTATAGTATATCACACATGTACCTAATACCACTACTAAGTAGTTAATAATTAAGTACCTAATATGCAATATTATTTTTAAACATAATTACTTACTTTATTTTATATAATTTTAATTAAGAGCTGAACAAATCAAATCAAATAGAAAAAAGCTTATCCCAATTATTAATTGATTGTGTGATCTTGTGTGGTCGTCAAGAAATAGCTTTGCGAGGCCACAGGAATTCTGGAAGTTAGCATTTTATGATGTTTATAAAATTGTATATATATAATATATATTATATATTTTTAATAAATACTAAAATACATCTATTCAATTTTTAAATAGACAGCAACAACCAATCAACCAATGTAGGTAATTTTAGAGCTATACTTAACTATCGGAGTAAAGGTGATGATTATTTAAAACATAATTTAGAAGAACAAGGAAGAAATAAATATATTACACCTCAAGTTCAAAATGAAATAATTTCAGCATGTGGAGAAATAATTTTAAAAGAAATAGTAAATGAAGTAAATAACTCTCGTTGTTTTACCGTGTTGGCTGATGAAACCACTCACGTAGCAGTTATCGAACAGTTAGCATTATGTGTGAGATATGTTTATTCAAAATATAATATTAAAGAAAATTTTCTAAAATTTGTACCTGTAAATAGCCTATTTGGGAAAAATCTAGCAGAGTCTATTTTAAGTGGTATCTAATAAATAAAATATTTTATATTTTAGAATACTTTACTAAAATTTTATAATTTAGGATTAACTGAATGTGGAATAAACTGCAATTTCCTTTATGGCCAAGGATATGATAGTGCTAAAAAACATAACAGGCCAGTTCAATAGTGCTCAAACACACATTAGAACTACTTTTCCTAAAGCGATATATGTACATTGTGCAGCCCACTCATTGAACTTGGCTGTATCAACTGCGTGTAACATACAACCCATTAGAAACTGTTTGGGCATTATAGAGAAATTATATATTTTCTTCAATATACCTAAACCTTATAATGTATTATTATCTTGTATTGAAAATAGATATACTGATATAAAAATAAAAAAGCCTTAAAAGACTATGTACTACAAGATGGGTATAGCATTATAATGCTGTACATGATTTTGTGGAATTATTTGATTTTGTATTAGAAGCCTTAGAATTGATTTCAGATTGGAAAGATTCATCGGGAACTGCTATAGAAGCCAATATGCCTATAAAATCAATTGATTTAGAGTTCATTGTATCAGTTTATGTTGTTAAGGTGAATATTATTATTTTTTATAAATTTAAAATAATTTATTTCCTATTGTAATGTAAATTGTATATTTTGTAATAAGTTATTAGTTGTAATTTAATTTGTAAATTATATGTATTTAGCTACTGTTTTCATATGGTTTGCCTCTATGCAAGCAGTTGTAAAGAGAGCGAATTGATTTAAAAGAAGCAGTCAATCTCACAGAAGATATAGTAATAGAGTTAAAGTTAATAAAAAGTAATTATGATTGTGAATTTAAAAAAATATTTAGTCAAGCAAAGGTATAAAATATATTATAATATAATCACTTATATTAAGCTGAGTATAATTTGTTATAGGACATGTCTGCTAAACTAGACATTGAATTAACACACAAAAGAATCATTAAAAAACAAAAAAAACCGTGCTAATCCTATAACAGATGGAGAGTTAAATGTAGAAACATACTATAGGATAACAGTTTTTCTATCTTATCTTGATTATAACTGAATTACAAGAAAGATTTTTGTCTCATTCAGATATTTTCAAAGGTACAGTGATATACGAGTAACATAATAATTATAAGAATCGCATATTATTATACAAATATTGTTAAAAAATAATTGATTCTTAATTATATTTATGTAGGGTTTGAATGCTTATTTTCAACAAATTCAAATTTAACTGAAGATGAAGAATTATCATTTAAACAATTGGTATAATTTTATAGTCCTGATGTAGAATGTTTTGACAAATCATTTTTTGAATTAAAATTATGGAAGCGTAAATTAAATAAATGTGAAAAACTTCCAAAATCTGGGCTCCAAAAACTTATTATGTGTGATGAACAAATTTATCCCAACATATTTTTGCTCTTAAAAAATATTATGTACATTGCCAGTCTCGACCACTTCACCAGAGCGTATGTTTTCTACTTTAAAAAGAGTAAAAACTTTTCTCAGAAACACAATGGGTCAGGTAATAATCATTATTTTTGTAAATTATATTATAATTTTAAACTTTTACTAACTTATATACCTACTTAATAGGAACGCTTGAATGGACTTATGATGTTATCAGTACATCGGGACATTAAGTTGAACCCCGATGATTTACTGGATATTTGGGTGAAAAAAACAAAAAGAAAACTTGAAATAATATTATAATTTATGAAAAATATATTTAGCTTAATTTAATTGTTTACTTTATTGTCTTTGAAAACCATTATTATAATATTCATACCTTCTTTAATTAATTTTTAATAATGAATTAATATAATATTGTGATCTATGAGATTTAATGGTTAATGGGGGGGGGGTATAGCCCCACTAGAACGATAATATAAACTTATATCCTAATCCCACCCCAGAACCAATTCCAAATTACGCCACTGGTGTCGTCGAAAAAAACAACTAGAAAAATACTATTTTCAATTTACACATTGTCTTTTCCCGTACAGCACAGAACAAATTACAAATTTTACTATATACATTGTTTCGCTTTTGTTTAAAATGGAATATCAATTAATTCCCATAGTAAGCGATAGAGATTGTTTATTTCGTTCCGTGTCATATTTAGGAATGGGCAAAAAACATCGATATTTTTAAAACATCGATGTTGCTTCGATGTTTTTTATCGATGATACATCGAAGAAAACATCCATGTTTTTATCTCGATGTTTTTTTTTTTTTTAATTATGTTATTAATTTGTCAGTTCACTGTTTTCAGTTTTTCACGAGATTTTCTGTGTTGAGTGTTCCATCGAACGACTCGACCATCGAGTTTCGCAATGGGCATTAAAATTTAAAATACGTAATACGTGATAAAATATGTGTAAAATATGTTGTAACTCGTAAGTATGACCAACGTCCTTAACAGTGTGTTCATTTTGATTCGTTCAGTCGCAACCACGATTAAAGTCATCTTTAATCGTGGTTCACAGTTTCACGTTGGTTATTATCATATTATAATTAATTATAATTGTTTTAACTGTATTTTAAGATTTAAAACTAAAGTACTTTATGTCATATTAATTTGTGTAAATATTTTATATAACGAAGGTAATGCCCGAGTAAAAAAAAATTCAGTTTCATCAATTTTATAACAGTTTATTATAGTAATATGTATTGAAAAATTAAGTTTTACAATAGTATTTTAACTTTTAAATTCATTATTTAATCTGGAAATTATAAAAAAAACATCGAAAAAACATTAAAGTTTTTTTAAAAATCCGATATATCGACACTATCGATGTTTAAAATATTTTGCCCACCCCTAGTCATATATATATATATATATATATATATATATATATATTAGTCATATATATTCGGCACGCAAGAGAACATCGAAATATTCGATTAAGAGTTGTTAACTTGGTGATACATAATTGGGATATGTATAAAGAATTTGTCATAGGTGATCTTTCGTATAGATTACCTATTTATAATTATAATGATTACGAACATTTGATGAGCATAAATGGCGAGTATGCTGGTCACGTCGAACTTGAATGCATTAGTTGACTTTATCCAAGTCATACATTTCGTGTGTATAGATCTACAGATCTTAGTGCATTTTTAGATTATTGTTCAGGTGCAATAATGTGTAATTTATTTTTTTCTGGCCATGGTGACACAGGACATAGTGCTTTAGTTTTTAGTAATAATATGAATATTCAAAATCTACCGAAAGAAATAAATGCTAACACTAATAGTAAGCGTAAAACTCAATCTTTAATTGGAAGACGTGAAAAAAAAACGTAAAGAAAACCAGAATCAGAGAGTATTATTTTATAAATGCGCTTTATCGCATAATATACTTCAAGTTACTTCTTATAATTTGGGTAATTTAAAATTTAAATGCGAGCATTGTCATTTGTTGCATTTTGTGGTAATGGAAAAATATCTTTACTAGAGTGCCGTTTGCCTAATGGAATATTTGATTTATTTGTTGGTGAAAATAATGAGTCTAAACATTTTAGAGAATATATACGTCAATATAATAGTGCGATGTCATTTGTCTCTTTTGGTTCTCACATAACATTACCATTTTTATTATGAACCTAGAGAAGATATCCGTAGGTACGACCCAACAGTTTCTGAAATCGTAGCAGTATTTGAATCTTCAGATGGCGCATCTATTTCACATAGACATATATCAGTTTATTCAAAAAAAGGAGATGTACAAAGAATTGATTACGATAGTATGCACTGTCAGTGGCGTATTTAGGGGGTGTGTCCTAGGGGTTAAAATCCTCCCCCAATTTTTTTGTAGTTCTATTTATTACTGAAGTATCGCAAAATATTGTTGACGAATGACGAAATATTTTAAAACTGCTTTGAAAATTGAATAATGTATATTTCATCTTATACCAGAAAATAGGTACTATTCATTAGCAAAATATTATTTGAACTTTCGCAGTAAACAATGAACTACGTAATTCTTAGAATTGTATTATCGTTTCGTGATGTCGGGTGAGCCGTATTGGCTATCGCCTTATTATCTTTCTTCGAATACAAGTTATTGTCAACTAATTACTATAGCAAAGGCCAACGATATAAAGTATATACTGTGTACAGTACACTCGAAGTACCTACAACAATTTTATTTTCTGCTGAACTACTGCTGCCGACTGTTGACGTCGTAAATACGTCAAATTTATGTGAGTACAACATAATTATGGTTAATTATTTTTCTAGCTTTTAAGCTTTTAAGGGCTCGTACGAAACTACGAACCATAATATGTAAAAAGAATAGTAAAATTAATTAATTAAATATAAAATTAAAGAGTATTTAATGTTATTGTGATTTTAAAACAATGAAAAAAAGATTTAATCTACTTTTATTAAAATTAATATCATATTTTCATATGATATTATAATATAACATTAAAAGCAGTCAATGATTAATAGGAGCTTAAGTCATTTTTGACTGAAAATATTTATGTTGGTATTAAAAATAAATAAGTATTTTAAACATTCGTAAAATATTGAAGAAATTTCGGTGGTTGGGGGGGGTCTGGACACCCTGGACCCCCCCCCAGATACGGCCTTGCTGTATTATGATAGGAAATTAGTTTTACATCACAAATACACAATATTACATATTATAATGTATATTATACACATAAAAACTGTCATGTTATGTAAAAGTTTTTTCAATATTTAGGCATTTATTCAGTGGTGTTTTGGAGGGTACACGCGGGTACATGATGTATACCCGTGAACCATCATGGTGATATAGCGTATATTTTATAAAAGTAACATCAATATGCACGTATACGCTCGTATAGCTACTTCATAAATAGAAAAAAAATCCATAGGACATACGTTTATTCTTAGACAATTTGTTATTGGTAGGTTAATAATAACATTGATAATTGATTATTTTTTATAGCCATTGATTATCCTCTAACTATATTCATTAGGTATCAAATTATAATATCTACAAGCGGCCGTTGACGTTTTTATACAATAATATACTAGATAGTGTGGCCATTGATTAAATAAATATAGATAGCCCACGCAATGATAAATATTGGAAATGCCTAAAATGTCTCTAATGGAGCCAGAATTGTAGTAGTAATGGATTCCTGATAACTGAATGCGCTGGCGTTCCATATAAACATTTGTAATCTTCAATTTATTGTTATCCGTGATCAATGTTGATACATTGCTGATAAACTATAATCAATTTTAACCGTTGTCATTTATTCTTTTTTATTATGTACAGGTTCTGTTAAAGTTAATTGTATATATTTTATATGTTTTGTAGTTACTTATTTGACTATTACATGATTATGATTTTATTTTACAATAATTGTAAATAAAAATAAATAAATATAATAATATTTTATTATATTTTTTGCCTTTAAAATCGGGCAATTATTGAATTTTCCATAGAAGCTTTAAATACTTAAATAAATTAAGAAATAATATGGGATAAAATTAATACACATTTTTTTTTTTTTTATATTTAAGTTTATACTTGTGAACATGAGATCCAGAAAAGACTTGAATACTCGCGAGCTAAGCGATCGTCTTTTTGAGTGATAAAAAATCTGATAAGTCTTGATCCTAATGAATACATAATAGTCATTGTCATAAATCCTTAAATACGCGTATACCCTCTAGTTTTTTTGCCAAACACCACTACATTTAGTAATCATAATATTGTGTATATATATAAATATATATATGTATGTATGTATGTATGTATGTATGTATGTATGCATATATATATATATATATATATATACAATGTAATACATTTATAAAAACTATAAACTAGCCTTATTATCCATCTTCGTCCATGAGTAAAAATATTTGTTATTGTAAATATACAAGTGTATTGTCAATTTAATGGTAAGTGCTCATGATTCAGCTGGTTATGCAGGTATTCCGAAGATAAATTGAAGAAGAATAAATATTACTATCGTTGTTTGTTGCAACCGTAACACTTATTACTCAATCAACTCTTAGTTCAAGTTTATCTTTAAGTAAATAAAAAATATTAAATTTTCTTATTGTTTTACGCTTATTCAAGAACGATTATGGCCAGCAAGATGAGTATAATAGATTTTATTTACTGTAAAAAAGAAACATTAAAAATTAAAGTATAGTATTCCTTTTTTTCCCTTAACCAAAAAATTAATAAAAAGCAAAGCCGAAGAAATAAAAGTTATGTTTCAAAACTACTAAAAACAAAACACAAATCCAAGAAGTATTTATTAAATACTATTTAATAATGTCGTCAGAAAAATGGGACATCAAAATAAAATGGACGCTACTCCCTCCCCCTCAGACCTTCGGATGATTTTGTTTTTTAATTTAATTCAAGGTTTACATGTATTTGTGTACACAAGAAGAAACGTGTTGAATCTAAATAGTTGTATTTTGGTAAGAAGTTACATCACATATTATATGATAATTTTACGCAAGTAGTATTTCACCTGTTGTCTGTTTCAAACACTCGTTAAATGTCTTGTGCACGTAATAATATGTGAATGTAATTAAAACATTATAGGTTGTTATCAAATTATGATAGTAGTTAAATTAGAAACAATCGCTTTTATTGACCTTTACTAACGTATAATAATATTTAACTAGTTCGAGTTGGTTATCTTCCCCGCCTAATATTATAAAAGTTAAACGTTATCCGTGTTCCATTTTTGAACTGCATGAATTTGATAAACTATAATCGGATTTATTACATCTTGAACACCGAACATGGACGGACGAGTAAATTTAGACGAGCCTCGTTGGGATCAGACTCAATACTGGGGCCGAGTAAAGTACTTTTTAACCACCACTAATCCGTTAAATGTTTTCAAATCAAATTCTGAATTAGAGAGATGCAAGCAAATCGTTACCAGTTATAAGTAAGTAATTTAAGTGTGACTCGTCTCTTTTGTAAAATAGTAAAACTGAAAACAAGAAGTTTAATCAATAGTTATTTAGAAATGGTGAAAATATACCAGATGGATTAACATTAAATGATGTCTACAAGGCAAAAGATGTGGTTGATTCTGCGTACCATCCGGAAACAGGAGAAAAAATGATCATCTTTGGAAGAATGTCAGCTCAAGTGCCAATGAATATGTTGATTACTGGCGGTTTGATCACGTTCTACAAGTGAGTGTATTTTATATTTATTTAATAAAGTATAATTAAATAAAAAATAAAAAGTTCACTATTAATTTTAACAGTAACAAAATATTTCACTAACATACAATCTTGTGAAAGTATTTTTGGTGCTATCAGCTCTTATAATATAAATAAAAATAAGGGTGCCTTAACAGCTATGATAAAAGATAAATAATAAGTAGTGGACTGTATAATAAAAAAATAATAAATAATATGAACAAAGGATGTAGTACAAAAATGCAAGGACGCCCATATGGGGAGCAAAGGAGGAACATGTCCTCCTAGGAAAATGTCAAAAATCTTGGAAAATTGTTTACTATGATTAGAATTTATTTATTTAAATATAATTTAAAAATTTAATTTAATATATGAAAATCTATAATTTGTTTATGAAAAATCTATTTATTTAGTTTGGAAAATCAGATTATCAGCTATAAATAATAAAGCGCTTTTTCGTTTTTATTCTATGGATAATTATCAATTCTTAAAATATTGTGTATTTCCACAAATACGGTATGTACATGTGCGTGTGTACACCACCAATTTTTTATATTATAAAATTTTAAAAAAAATTTTAAATTTTATATTTTATTTATGAACAGATTTATGTATAATTATACATATATAAAAGAAACACGGAAACTGAATGGGAATTTTTATAGATGCACATTGCCCGGTTTTCGGTACTCACTACCTATTACCTATTATCAAACGTGTGACATTATTTAGTGTTATTATAGAATAATATAATGTTAAACTATCTGACAATAAAAATAAATAATGTTAATTAGATATTATTATAAATAAAGGTATTATTTATAACTTAATAAGTATTGTAATTTATAATATTAATTTTATGATAACTAGAGAGTAGAGATTAGAGTTGAAAATAGAAAAGTGAAAACTATTCAAGTGTTGAGTCGTTACTCATTAATTTGTGTTGTACCTATCGAGCTTACTATTACTATCGTAGTGTCGAGTGTAATATTTAATAACAAAATAATGAGTTTTATTAATAAATATATTATTTAATATATAATTAAATAACTAGAGATTGATAAATTAAAATGTTGTCCCCCCCCCCTTGAGAATTTTCCTATGGGTGCCCTTGCAAAAATGTATTAAGTTGCATGGTTGGCACAACAAATATATATCAATAAATCAATGTAATATAATGTATAAATAATATAATAATAATATGGACGTGGCCCACACTGCACACAACTATAGGTATAAAATGTGTAAATAAAAACGGTAACTAATGTAAATGATAAGTAATTTGCCTGTGGCGGCTACAATACAATGATAGACAGATAATCAATAATAATAATATGCTAATATAATATAATAAGTAATAGGTATGCATAATTTGCCTACGAACGGCAAGGCCCGTCGGCTCTTACACGAATGAAACGAAAAACAAGTATGGTCGACCAATACTCACATGCGACTATGTTGAGTGGCTGATTGCATCCACGCGACCGCATCAACCCTGTGACTTAATAATTGCCTACGACGGCAGTTATTACCCGCAGTGTATAAATGAAAATAAGTCACAGAACTTGGTACGTGCGACCACCCAAGCACAGTCACCAACGAAGACGGAGGTTCTACAGCGCAGACGAAGACAATACGAATGAAAACCACAATGGCTGTTGGTAAATGACCACCATGGAACACGGTGACTGAATGAAAGACAATACTATTTACGCAGAACGACATTTATCAAACAGCCGACAAGAAGGATACGAAACACAAAAAAAGTGGGTTTGACGAAAACGGCTGTAAACCGACTAAAACAGTTGATGTGCACACAACGACGAACACGAACAGAAAGAGAGATGATTCCGACGACATTTACCACGAAGGCTACAGTTTCCGGACACCAAATTGACGATAAAGTTCTTCAGTGTCTCCACACTAAACCAAAAATCACGAGAAACTTGCGAAACTCTATGGCACCGAGAACATGACTTCACAATAAACGAAAAACAACCGGAAAGAGTAAGAAAACATGAAATAACGGATACATTTACGTGCGATGATAACAACACGATACGTACCCGGCCGGTCGCACACGGAGGCTTATCGACGATGGTCGCGGATACGCAACGCACCGCTACGCATCGCACGAAAATGATAACATGGACACAATTACAATGTAGATTGCAATATTGACGCGAACAAGTAGTATGATGTGATTTAGCATAAATAAATTTGTTATAGCTTAGGCTCAAAGTAAAACGAAACAGTAAATAATAATCAGTTTTTTATTTTATATACTGAAAAAGAAACTCATATTTATAATTAGTACCTTAACGTCCTGACGTCTAGAATACCAAATAATAACTTAATTTTTAAAAAACTTTCAATATTTTTTAAGTGTACAATAAATAATATATTCTATTTTAATATTAACTACATAATTTTTTGTTATACACACGATATTCTATTATGTTTTACCTACTGGTCTTAAATTAAATTTAAATGTTTGCACTCTTTTATTTTTATTTGGTTAAAAAAAAAAAAAATCAAAATTATAACTTTAAAGTATAGCCTCGTATGTTACTCTATTTTTATTACATAATATATTTTTTTTTACCTTTGCTTCAATACTTTGTCTTCAATATTTTTATGATGTTTTTTATTTCTTCCAAGTTTAGTACCAACAATTCTGGTTACGCCGTATAGTAGATTGGGAGCTCTCTTCGGAGGCATTATACCTCTCCTTTATTACATTCAAAAATACTATAAAGACGTGATTTAAATCTGTCCGCAGTATTTATTTATATTTATTTAATTTGTTAAGAAGTGACCATTATATTCTTTGAAAATCGTAATTTGAGCTTTGAAACCGTTTTTAATTGATTAACATATCCTAAAGAATGTTCTCGGGTTAAATCTATATTTTTCTATACTTCTGATAAATTCTTTTTCGGCTCGTCTTTTCTCTTTACTTATTATCTTATTTTTTCTGTTCCTCTGTAAAATATGTTCTTGATTTTCTGGTGTTTGATTCTGTACTATCTTTTTCCTTGCTTCATCTCGTTTTCGTAAAGCTTCTTTGCATCATCCATTAAACCGCGAGTTATTATTGTTTTGTTAACTTTTTTCGAAAAGTTCTATTGATAACTTTTTATATTTCTTTTCATTCATCTTTTGAGCTTTAGTTTGAATTATTTTAATTATTATCTTAAAGATTAGATATTGTTTTCTGGTATTTTTTTTTAATACTTCTGTATCTTATACTGTGATTACCCTGAGGGCACATAATAACTATTATATAATTAAATGTAACAATATATATTTAAAATCAATTAAGTATATATTAAATCTATAATTTATTATAGTATAAGGTATGTAATTAGTATTATAATTTATAATCAGAACAACACCGGCAGTAATTTTTTGGCAGTGGTGCAATCAATCATTCAACGCTCTGGTCAACTATACAAATCGAAGTGGAAACTCACCGATGCCCCTAGAGTATGAGAATCGATTTTACTAATTATTTTACAGTGCTGATATCAAACTATTACGTTAATTTGATTGTATATTACAATTCATTTACAGTCAAGTTGCTAAATCGTATGTATTAGCTACCAGTGGCGCTCTTATTACAGCATTGGGTTTGAACAGATTAGTTAAAGTAAGTTTCTATAGTTTCTATAGTTATAACTTCAATACCTATCATTTAATATTTTATCAAGTCTTATAATTATCAATTTTTTTAAATAGCTTCATGAAAGTAAAAACTGTTTATTTTTTTTTAATTTATTTAATTTAAATGTTGTATAAAATAAAATACATTCTGATAAATGTTTTGAAAAATGTTACTTATAAAAAAAAATCATATTAATTTACTTGATCAATCAATATTTATAAAAACACAATGTAAAATGTTAAAACGTGAGGCCTATGATTGTTGCCCTTATTTTCTAATGATTTTTTTTTTTTTTTGATAGAAGGATGAGGTTCCGAAGATACTTTAAACCATGTGTGGGCATCTTAAAATTAATTAAATTGTCATCGTTTTATTTTTAATTTATAAAAATTTGAATACAATGATAAATTATTTGAATTCAAAAAACGATTCGAAGTAATGAGTAACTAACCTTAACAACCTTATAAAAAATGATATTGATTCAAATGTATCATGTAATTATATTATAATACAATGCTATAAAGATTACTTCAGATTTCTTTGAATAGTCTTGTTTCACTGATAGTTTTGGAAGTAATAGGACCTCTGGCATCTGTAGAGTGCATAAGTATTTTATAATAGAATTCAAATCAATCTTCTATAAATATTGTTTTTTATAATATGTTATTATGCCATGAGACAGTTAAATTTGATTTTGTATGAATAATAAATACTATGTAAATGTGTAATGAAATTGGAAAAGTTAATCATAAACGAAACAAGAAGGGTTTTAATACGTAGTTAAAGATATCTGTTTTTTTAATCCTCCCATATGTGTTTGTGCAAAATGCTGGACTATCAGGGAAGTGGGCAGCAATCAAAAAATTTTGTGTATATATCTATTGAACGTATTGATTAGCAATAACTAATAATATAATAATATAATTAATGATATTTACTCCATACCAATAAACGTCAGTTTAAATATTTCATATTCTAACCGGATAAATATATAATACACTCATCTAATACTAATTCAAAAATGTCCTAATTATTGTCACCATTGCTCAATTATAGACTACTGCGATTGTTCTTTGGTAATATTACCTTTCCTTTAAAGTTTTGTATCATACCATAGTTCAGAGTTAATCCTAGTCAAATATTTAACTGAATCTCGAAAAAATAGAAATGATTCTTAGTTTTAAATTTAAAAATCTATGTATATGCATCTATCACTAATCATACTATTATTATATTTATATTTCATATATATATTCAAATTGTTATTAAAAAACTACTTTTTTAATATAAATTTAACACATTTTAATATTTTAATAAGAAATATAAATCGCAAATGTAAACTTATGATTGAGAAAAATGTCATTTAAATTAAAATTATTTTAAAAAGAAACTAAGATTCTGTTTACAAAACATCAAGTACAAATTAATAGTATAGAATTAGTTACGATGATTATAAATTATTTTCCAAAAAATTAGGTACCTGAAGTATGTATTATTTTGTATGGACATATTTATAATTTAGTTGTATACATATATATATTTATATACCATTATTATAATAGTAAATATCATGTAAAATATTAATAGAAAAATGTAAAAGTATCTTAATATTTAGTTTTATCATAGTAAATTGAGGCACACAAGTTTTTACAATTTTGTTCGGAAATGTATTATTGTTCTCGAATTAGAAGATACTTGCTGTAATAGTCCATATAACTTTTGTAACTGTTGTAACCTACACTGCATTTTGCCAATCACAAATAACCTGTATCCCATAAACTTTAATTTCCCATTATATAGTCAATAAATATCAATTAATTCGGAATTAAATATTTCTTTAGAATTGACAAATATGAAGTTAAAACAACAAAATATTAATATTTGCCCAATGTACTCGATGAAATCATTATTTATTAACACATTTTCATTATTTTAGAGATTACCTCCTATTGCCGGACGTATTGTGCCATTTGTAGCTGTTGCTGCAGCCAATTGTATTAATATACCCCTCATGCGAAAGAAGTAAAAATGTAATTTATCGATATATATTATAAAAATATTAAAAATATAATACATTTTATTTAGAGAGCTGGATGATGGGATTGAGGTTTTCGATGAAAATAAAAATTTCCTCGGTGAATCCCAGGTGGCTGCTCGTGAAGGAATTTCAGCTGTAGTGTTAAGTCGTATTGTGATGTCTTCTCCGGGAATGAGTAAGGATTGAAAGATATTTCACTCTTATTCATGTTAAATTCTATACGTTAATTGATTTAAATTTATATTTATACACCAGTCATAACGCCAGTAATAATGGAAGCAATTGAAAAAAGAGGATTGTTAAAAAATATGAAATGGGCGCCAGCACCTTTACAAATTGCATTGTGTGGAATGTTTTTAACTTTTGCGACTCCAATGTGTTGTGCATTGTATCCGCAAATATCACCTATATCAATTGATCGACTTGAACCTGAGTTACAGGTAATTAATGTTTTATAAATTATTCCATATAATTTCGTATTTATCAAAATTGATAACTTCTTATGTACATGTAAGAATTAAGATTTTAATATTATTGAAAATAACTTATAAAACCGGATTAATACATATTAAGCATTGGTTATGTTCTTAAATTATCAACATAATTAAAATTTTAAATTTAAAACCAAAAATATATTATTTAATCATATATTTTAAATATAAGCATAGATAGTACAATAGATATCATACCTATATTCATTATTTAAAGTAAAGTTATTCAATTGATTAATAGTTTATTAAGTCAACATAAAACGAAGATCTACAAGCAGGGGTGGTATGATCAGTGAGACAAAGGGATAATCGTCTTTCTGGCCCTCGATAGTGCCATAAAAATTATATATACTCGCGATACAAAATGTGTTATTAAAATATAATAATAAAACATCATTAATTTACTATAAGAATATCTGAATTGAAATTAATTGAGCACTATTTACTAAAAATATTAATTAGTTGATACTTTATAATAACAGGTTCAGTTGATTAACTCCCCGTGCCCCTTAATGTCCAGTTTGCCCCTGACTTCTGCCTATTTAATAATTAATGTAAATTAAATCATTAGTGATTAGTATAGGTTATAATTTTATTAAGTTTATTGTTTATGCAATAAATAAATTTACCTTTGGAATTACCGTTTACCGACTTAATTTCCTGTTTTTCTACACTAATTTCAGTAACTTAACTCTACATACCTATACAAAGTAAATAATTGACCTATGGTCAAACATAGATAAACATTTATACATCGATAAACTACATGTATATGAAGCATATACATGTATCTTATGATTATGATTTATAAATGTTCATTGGTGTTACATCTACGCATTCCGTATGCCTAATTAAATTTCAATGTTACAGAAAACGGCGCAAAAATGTAATTCGAAGATGGGATACTACAACAAAGGACTATAAATATCAACGTTCAATTGAAATACATATTTGTTATTTATAGAAAAGTAAAAATTGCCGTTGTTGCTGGTATTGCGGTGTAGCTATCATCTACAATTTTTGCATTGTTCTATGCTCTGTACTCGATGTATTGTACTTCTTATTGAATTGCGCTATTCCAAGATCTATTAAAAAATTCAAATAAACCATAAACTTGATCTATTATTCAATTGAGCGTATAACTATTTTCATGACCATTTATATGCATATTGAAAATCAAGACTGTTATATAGTTTTATAATTTATAATATTATTTACTCCGTTACGAATAATAATTATATACACTAAGTTATGTTGGGTTAGGTTAGGTTAGGTTAAATTATGTACACTAAGTTATTAATCGGTATAATATACAAGTTTTTCTAATAAATGAAATTCTTTTAAAAAAGGTTTCCATGGCACTCACAACTCACGATAATGTATTCACTCGACAATACGACAACGGTATAAAAGTGCTTCGTTATAAGTTATATTTAATATAATAATTAATTTATGGTATATATATATATATATATATATATATAAGTACCATTGTATTACCATAATCACTTTTGTTATTCACTATTGCCTGTTACACAACAATATATATATTTACTGCCAACAGATAGCCTACATATAGCAACACAATTTAAAAGGCATTTATGCAGGGGCGTCATTTCAACTTTTGAAAGGTGGGACAACTGATTAAATTTGCTGACTTCATAATATTTAAAAAATGATGGTTACCTATATATTTAAATACCATATTTAATATCTATGGACGATAGACTATTAATAAAATATTTTTTTCCAAACAAAACATGTAAGGATTAGTAATGAATAATGTCATGATGATAAACAAAGAACATGAAACGTTTCAATTTACCCAATTAAATAATAACATTAAAGATAGTAAAACATTAATTTATTTACTTATCCAATAGGCTATAAGTTACTTATCAATAGGTTTAATGGAATAATAATATAAATCTAATTAAATAAATACTTATAATTTTATTATTTGTATATTTAATACTTTACAGAACTTACATATCATAACATAAAATTGTATCTCAAATATAATGTACCGTATTTTGGGGTGAATAGGAACGATTTAAATGGTTTTTTATAGATTATGAGCTCAATTTTTTATGGTATCGATATCACGAAAACTGTTTAATAAAGATCACATACATAGAAATATATAATATACCAAAATTAAAATTTTTAAGGTTTGCATAATAATGAGTGTTATAAACTGGGGAGGAGCCAGTGTTTCCCAACTTTTAATAAACCGTGAACGTGTATTTAAAAAAGAATATCTAATTTCTGAGTACAAAATAGTAAATAAAAATTTACTATTTACCGATTTTAGTATTTTATCATCGGACAAAGAATTACCGACTTTTTAAAAAAAGAGAGCGTGGCATTTACCATAGTCTGCTCCCCCCCCACCCTAAATGACTCCCCTGCATTTATGTGTACTGAAATTTCAAATAATGGTCATGCAGTGGTCAATAGTCACATATGCGCAGTAGTACCTATGTACTTCTTGTACTGGTACATGTAGTTTGTAATTTTATGAGAAAAAAAATGATATTATTATTAATGCTTGCTACTATTACGTTTCGATATGAGATAAAATATAAAAATATAATTGTTGTGATTGGTATATATTTTATTGTTACTAAAGATAATCTAATAATGATTTTATTTGATCGTGAGTTACAAGTATTAATACCAGTAGTGGCGTCATTTCATTTTTTTTTTCTAGAGTAGAGCAGTCTTATTAAATATCTAACTTGGCCGCTCATTTTACCAAAATGCCGATTAACGTGATGGGTGGGGGATGCCAAACCAGCCCAAAAGTATAATAATTTGTTCTTTGAAAATATGTACCCCTATAGTACACGTCTCATTTTGATGATGTGTAGACTTAGGAATTGCTAAACTCTAGACTGTGGCGAATGCATGAACTGCCCCTTCTCCTAAATGACGCCACTGGTGATAACCAAGATTAATATACAATTAAACGAATATTTAAACTAATATTTATACATCCAAAAGCGAACGTAGTATCGTTATTTATAAATACAAGTATATATTAATAGTAGTATTTAAATAAATTTCGATGTAGAGTTTTGTATATTCTCAGATGTACATGCTTCATGCTATTTGGTACATATGCCCAATGCCAGGTCTAGGAAATTTGACGCTTGGGGCTAAGAAACATGCAGCGCCCTTACATAGGTGGAAGTACGGGGTTGCTCCTCTCTATATCTAGTACTGTATTAATATTTAAAAGTGTACCAGTGCTACACATATGCTAATACGTCCGTTCGTCTTTTTCAAGTGGGTATCTACAATATACTTATCCGTTTTTCCCGCGAACCCTAGAAATGAATTAAAATATAATAATTATCAAAACTAGGGCTCGAGTTTTAAGAGAACAAAATAGCAAACACTTATTTATTGCTGTATAGTCGTGGAAGTGTGGTATGCGTATTGTACATTGAGTATTTCTTGCATCAATCAACAAGTGATATTTCTATGAAATATTTAAGTAACTAATACCTATCTATAAATGTGAATTATAAATACATTTTTTTAGTGGATTATTTTTCTTTTTAATTAAGAACGAAAATGTATGTTGAAACTTATAAAATGGAAAACTGAACTAATATTTGTAATTTTGATTTGTCGTGGTTGACGTCGGAGTTTTTTATTTAAGTGTTTCGTACTGATTTTTAAATAATTTCAGGGCTTATTTTGTGTATTAGGAAAAGTTAGATGCGCACTTAATAATAAACTATTGCGTACTTGTTTTTAATTCAATGTTGTTTATTGTTATTTTATACGTTACTTAATGATTTATAAACAAAGTAAAAAGAAAATTTATTAAAAAAAAATTAAAAAAAATACTTCGAACACGAATGTAAATTGTTTTATATCTTTTAAATACATTACATTTTAAATTACTTCACATAGACGCTACACATTTTATTATTTTAACTATAATTTGACAGTATATTTTGAGATCATAGTTCTATTTTGTTAGGCTTAATTAAACAAAACGCGTAGTTGATAAAAATCCTTAGAATAATCCCTGAATAATTTATAGTTAATGTTAAAACTATGGGATATGTATTATATATCTAGGAACTTAGGAATGAGGATATATTAGATGATAAAAAAATTATATTAAACTATTTTAAACATTTTAAGTTACGAACATTGGCGGAACTAGGTGAGGAAAACAGATATGGATCTCCGGGCGTACATTTTCAGAGGGTGTAATTTTTGTAGTGTATAATCTATTATTGACTACTAGTTTGATATTTTCAACTTTTTTAATGATAATGTGTGTATAATCTGAATATTCATCTATTATATTTTGGAAACTCAACATAGTGCTCAATCCGTAGCATTGATGTTTGGAGGGATAACGAATCAAATAGCAATGCAGTAGGTTGCAATAGATGCAGTATAATAGACGAGAAAGATGAGATTATTTTATTGCCTCGAATGCGTAATTCAAAGGTTTATTTCTCGCTGGTTAAAATGCGTACAACAAATTCTGGTTTTTTACTTTGTGGCTCTTTACAAAATCTAAACTTTTTCATGTTTGCTCCACCACCTCTCTCTCTGCGGGTAAAGGTGCACTCGTGTTAATATCGAACGAACAATAATATACTGTAACCCCGTAAAACACAATATTGACGTCCCCCTGCGTTACGGTTGTATTGGTCGAGCACGAGGGGTTGGAAGAGCTACGGCGATATAATAAGAGTTCGCGAATACATGAGGAACTATCGTCTCCACGCATTGACACCCTTTACACCCCTTTTAAAATAGTTTCACTCTTTACTATTCCTGTTTTTGATTTATACCCATAGTTTTAATTGATAGTCTTATTTCATACCCATGCCAAATTTAAGGGGAGGCATTAAGAGCACCTACCTCGGTTTCCTAAAAGTTGTAAAAATAAAAAATGTAGTAAATATTAAATAAAAATAATCATGTACATTTTTAAATATCTTACGAAAATAGTTCTAATAAAATAAGTTTTACGATAAATTTAATAAATCAATTCAATTAGATGTATATATATGTTATAAAATAGCTTTAGTGGTAAAATTTTAAAATTTGTTTAAAAAAAAGATAAAAAGAAAGTTAAGGAATGTAAAGCATTGCATTCTTATTTTTTTAAAAGACTATTTATTTTCTACATATGCTTAAAAATCCATTGAATATAATATAAAGTATGGGTCTTCAATTATTATTTGTCCCGGGCCCTCAAAAGTGTAAATCCAACCCGGGTTCATACGTTCGGTAATAGTTTTTTCAATAGAAATAAATGTTATAGTAACCACAGTAAAAATATAAGAATGTATTATTAACAAATGTTTACCAGTAAAATGATACAGCTTTTTTTTGTCGTGCAATTCGTGTATTGTTAAGTATTATTGTTAATTGTAAGATTTTCATAGTGGTTTTAGTTAATAAATTATGATAATTAATTAAAAAATACAACCCAGTAGGTAGATTGAAAAAAAACGAAAGAATTTGGTCAATGTGCATTGTATAAACTTATTTTCAGTGGCGTGGCGAATGTATTATTTTAGAGCAATTGCTCCTTCAAAAGTTTTAGTGGGTGGTTGTTCCCCTTGCCACAAAACACCTAGCCACCTTGGTGACTAGGTTTATGATTGATATATTAATACGTATACGAATATGTGTCTTACTTGTGTAAGATATCCGAGCTAGTGTGCTACACTCCCTTAACAGCATAAAACCTGTAAATATTATAGAAGTAAATCAGTATGCCGAAAATATCGGTCTATCCGGTGCAGACGGTTGTTTTCGGTCAATTGCAAAAACAATGCATTATGATTATTATTAGGAAAACATAGATGAGCTGGTTCGTTTCTAGAAATTTGCTCAACGACCGCAATTGCTTATAGCCGCTAAAGTTTTATTTATTTTGATTTAATCATGTCTGACGTCGAAGCATGTATATGTGGTAAAAAAAAAATTAACAAAAATCCAACGAATTGAAAAAGGCATTTAAGCGCGCGCAAAGCGATTAAAAAAAAAAATTCATCTTCAAAATATCTCAATACATATTTTAAAAGATTTTGGAAGGCTTCTAGTTCTACTGAGTCTGATGCAAAAAAAAAATGAAAAAAAATGGTAAGTATTGTTGTACTTAAATATTATTTTAATATTATTGTGATGTATCATAGATTTAATTTGTAAACTACCTTGCTATTTTTTTTTTATCTAGGTACCTACCTACAAACATTAGATTTTAGTTATTTACAATTAAGTTTTTATAACTATAAATAAATCGGTTATTTATGAAAGCCCTCTACCAAGTCCAAAAAGTGAAACTTTCGGGAAATTAAAAATAACTGTTTTTCTCATACAATTTTGCATTATAAAAAATATTTTAAATGTTCATGTACTATTAACAGCTGTTGTTATCAATACAGTTTGATTATAAAAATGTTTACCTATTTATGAATGGGATCAACTACGGTACTAAGCACTTTTCATATATACACTAAATATTTGAATCCCTATAGTAAAATAAGTATTATCAAAGTTGACGCTTTTCAAAATTAAACTATATGTTTATTTCCTCAGAAACGTTATTATAAAAAGTCATTTTCCAAAACATTGTTACATCTCACCTTTCATAAATAACCAATTCAAATGGTATAGGTTCTATACTTCTATATAGGACCTACCTATTTTGTTATACCTATGTAACTACTGTTTGTTGGATCTGAAAAACGTGTTAGTTTCTAATAGTTTTTTTTACTATATATATTAAATAAAACATTGAATATTCGTATAGAACGACAGTATGGCATACGCAGTTGCAAATAGATTGAACTTAAATGGCTTATGAATAGCAATTTATATTAACAAGTTGACTGCCATGAGTACCATATTTGGTACTCACGTGGTATGCATCCTAGGCTTTAATAGTTTTGACATATTTTTTCTACACGCTTTGAGTACCAATACTGGTGCTCACACTGTTTGACTCTCAGGCTTTGAGGGTTTAGCATGTTTCGACTAGTTCCACACTGGGTAGGCGTACTCTCCAATGGAAAAACATAATGCCAGTCTTGTAGTTCGAATTGTATTTGACGTGGCACCCCACTTGCTGCCTGCTAGTTTTCGTAATAAATTATTCCTTGTTTGTACTTTCATTTTTGTTTTTCTACATTGCTCCTTAAACGTGAGAGTTCTGTCCAGTGTAACCCCTAGGTAGACTGGCTGTTCTGTGTTTTTCAATGTTTTTCCAAGCCACTCAACTTTGAGCTCTCTTTTTGCCTCACGATTTCAGAAGTGGAAGTAGCATATTTGTGTCTTATCCGGGTTTGGTGTTAATTGGTTTCTCGCATAATACGTAGTTAACTCTTGGAGAGTTTTTGTAAGCTTACGTTCGACTTCTTGGAATGTTATATCCTGTACTTCTATGGCCAAGTCGTCTGCGTAGGTATAGAAAGTGCTTTGTTTCTTCTGTGGTTGGTCTTTGGTGTAAGTAATACACTACTCTTACCATTCTAAGGAATGAGCTGTGCATAGGCGCAAATCACCCAAAAACATTAGGGGGGGGGGGGGCTTAAGCACCAACAATGTTTGAGGAAACAGACCAAACTCGTGAGGGGCTTTGCTCCTCACACACTCCAATAGTACTATACCACATATTATATAAATAAAAATATAAAATACAAATCAAACAAATACAACAAAACATTTTATATAAAAGATATATTTTTTTTTTATTATTTATAGACTTAGCCTAATACTGATTGAAGGAACATACCTTGTAAGTTCTTTGTTTGTATATGACGTTTTTTTGTTGAAATATGAAAATAACGTATTCATTTTTTTTTTTTTTAAATGTATATATTTATGTTTATTTAATTTATACAAATGTTGTGTACACTGTACAATAATAATATAATTATAATTTTTATAGCAAAAAAAAAAAATAAAACACTAAACGTGAACGACGAATAATTGAACGATCTCGAACTAATAGCGTAGACTCCGTGGTTGGGTAATGCCATGATTAGAACCGTTCTAGTATTATAATTTATAATACCCAATAGTAAAAACTATTTATAATTTATAATCCATGATATTATGTATTTATATTTGTAATAACTAATAATTGATATTTGATAATATTATATATATATTATATTAAGCCGGGTTCACACTATTGCAATTTCTTGCATTATAGACTTGCTTACAATAAATATCATGCAAGAATACGCATAGTTATACGCAAGTGCATGTTCACATAGATGCTTAAATTTTTAGTCTTGTATGTATTTAAATATAGTTTAGTTTCAAAAGCAGTGGCGCACACAGAATTTTTTTTCGGGGAGGGTCAAGGTAAAAATATAACACATTTTTCAACTAACAAAATTATGTAAATCCTTAATATAAATTGACTTAAATAATAGCATTGATAATAAAATAGACTGTTCTATAATCAATGATACTAGGTATTCAATACTAGCTCTTCATATTTCAAACTTGTAAAATTTGTAAATTTTAACCTAGACATCGGAGAAAATTTCGGAGGGGGGTTACAACCCCTTAATCCTCCCTTGCGTGCGCCACTGTTAAAAAATGATCTGATCGCGAGTAGAAATACTGTTTTTTTTTTTAAAAAATTTTAACGAGAATATTAAATGAATCCAACAAAAAAGGTGTAATTATTGTTTGCGATATGCTTCGTAAAAAAAATCTTAAAAAAGAAGCAAGAAGCTTATAAAATATAATAAAATAATTTATATTAACAATTGTATTAATATTATTATTATTATTATTATTATTAAAAAAATGTTAAAAGTTCATACAACACAATCACATTGATCACGCAGTTAACTATTCGTGTTCGAGAATAAACTGGCATACAAATTCTGTTCGACATGTCGGACTGCATGCAAGTTTGAGCATGCAAGAACTTGTGTGCGTATTATCAGCGTTCACATTTGTTCAATTTAGTTCTTGCACGAGTAAAAATAAGCATGCGGGAAAAAGCATACAAAAAATTGCCATAGTGTGAACCCGGTATTATAGTGACGGTCGGCAGAACGGAATGCAATTAGGCTACAAAATTATTTTAATCCTATTTTATGGAATTACCTAACGCGGGTCTAATTAAATAAAACTATATAGTGTCGTTGCGGTCGATCTGCGTAGATTGTAGATACTCCGAATTTTATTACATATTTACATACCTATATATTTAACAATTTATTATTTTCCGTTAATATCATAATTTCACAACAATTATTATGATATTATATAATATATTTTATATGGCATTGCAGTTTAATATATCCAAACGTAAACTCGACATATTATATTATAAATAATTAAATAGATATAAAACTCTTTTTGAATTTTTAATAAATATAATTTTTATAGAAATATGATGGTAATAGAGCTGCGGTTTATCAAAACTTGAGTACGCAATGATCACAACATGTTCTAACAGGAATGTTAGTCCAAGCTGAATTGTACTCGATAATATCCGCAGTCGTGAAATTCTGGAAACATGGTGCCTATAAAAGAAAAAAAAAATTAAATTAAAAAAAAAATTAAAGCATTTTTTCAAACATTCTTATAGTAGAAAATGAAAGAAATTAATAAATCCAGACACGGAGAAAATTCCGCAAGTTATCGGTAAGTATTTAGCCGTATATACTTTTTGGATAAATTGACATTTAAAGAACAATGCTAATATAATTCGAGTAATATCATATTATTCTACTGTACTGTAGAAATGTTTAGTATAATATTTACCGACAACGGTTGCCACAAAGCGTCTTCTTTTTCTTTGCTGGTCATGGAGATGAACGAGTCAACGTCGGAATCGGGACAAATCTAAGTGAAAATTGAAAAACAAAATGTATTTTTTTTTTTTTTATATACATATATTGTATATTTTTTTTTACATATTTTTCGTCATATTCGTACACTATGAGCGTATAAATTATTTACACAATACATTATCGTATAGAAAAACGTTAGAAATGTGTTGAAAAACTATGAAAATTACAGATGCTCATGTAATAGACCCAAAATCAAATGAAATGAAATCGACTTCGCTTATGGATGTAAGAATAATATTATTATATTAATGCGTACAATGTCCTCAGGTCCGTGTTCCTCGCATTTCTGCAAACTGTTCACCCAATCGCGGCAGTTCCTTTCCTGCGTCGTCACATCGTCGTCGGATAATATCTGTTAAATTACGATTTTAATCAGATGTACAATACATTTTGGAAACGATTTTTATCACTCATATCGAACAGTGAAAAATATGTTACGATTGTTGAATAGAAAACTACATGATTATACGCGTTCGCGTTACTTAGTACACCCGAGTAAACATTTCATTATGAAAATAGAAGTCGCACGGTTTTAATACTTTTGATAATGTTTCAAATGAATATATAGCGTTATAAAAAAAAAAAAAAAAAAAATTGTATGAGTAATAATACCGAAAATATTCTTCCGAACCATATATATATATATATTTATGTATCAGGTATGTAGATCACAGTGGGCGCGCACACACACACACAAAAAAATAAAAATAAAAAATAATATTCTAAAACGAACGTACTCGAGTGGTAGAGGCAATCGATTGTTCTTGCGACTTCGACGGACGAGCGGAAACGTTCCTGCGCCACGCGTTCCGGTTGACGCGTGTCTGGCTACGGACGGGTCCGGTAGCCGTAGGGCGTGAATCGACGGTCGGTTGCTGGTTAACGATGGCCGCAGAATCAGGGTTCGCCTGTCCACGGTCGGATCCGACGGCCACGGGACGCAGATCAACAGGCAGCGGAAGGGGCTCTGCGGCCAGCGCAGCAACCGCGGAGGCATACGTGTCCCTCCACCCTTGCTCGTACATGGCCCACATAACTTCATCAGCCCTAAGACGTTCGATGTCCATACTGGCGACATCGGACACGGTCAACGGTGGCGGCGACGTCGAACGCGAAGGTCCGTCGCTCGCGATCTTCTTCTTTCCTCGGTCATCTTGAATTCTGATGCAATTTGATCGATGAAGTACAATGTTCGTGACGGTGTCAGAAACGGTTGTGAGCTAATTCAAAAGCCTGTCTAAATACTCGGATTCCCGTCGTCAATTGGCAACCAGATAAATATACGTTCCGTTAGAGTAATGATGGCCAGCATCGAGAACGACAATAAAACCAGTACCGTTTGTAATTACAATTTCGATATTAAGTATTAAGCTATTTCGCTGATTTCTCCATCTACTCCATTTATTGTTTAGCGTGGCTGTAATGCATCGATTCCGTAGCATAGAAGTTATTATTTGTACTAGGTGCCAGTCATTTGTATACTTTTATATCTCTTTTAGTATTAGATTGTGATTCACCGTAAGTCTACAAGAACCACCCCTCTAACTTTTTTGTTCCCATAACCATCCTCAATGTGCTGACATAAGTTTATTACCTGTCTTGTGCAGGATTTACCCTGCCTAAAACCGGCTTGTTCGACGATAAGTTTTCTTTCTATTTGTTCTTTTATACGGTTCATAATCATTCGTTCTTACAGTTTAAATTTATGGCAGAGTAGAGATATAGGTCTGTAGCTTTTAGGGTCCTTGTAGTCTTTGCCTGCTTTGGGCAGGGTCACTATCTTTGCCTTTCTCCATGTTTATCAAATTTAAAATTTTTTATTTTCAGTATTAAAAAATTATTTGTGATTTTAGATGAGCAAAATTTAACAGTATGCGAAGATATTCATGTAGTTGATATGGACAATGTAGACAGAGGATATGATTTCGTTAATGCAGATTTAATTAGTGTAATAACTGTTAAAGATATTAATGGTGATTAATGGTGATCAAGATATGACTGGTAAATTAAATTATTTATTTAAAAATGATTAACTAATACAGGAATAGGAAGATCTGATAAATAAAATTAATTTTTTATTACATATTATGTATTGAATCTTTACTCTACTTGTTAAATATAATTATTTTTATTTTTATTTTTTAAGAATGAAAATATTTAAATAATAATTACCTATATTATTTTGTATTTATACATTTTTTTTTTACTTAAAATATGTTTTAGGATTGGATCAACTTTATTTAACAAAGTAATGAGATTTTAAAAAATTAACTATATGACTTAAATAACTGTTCTTACAATCTAGTTTTCTAAAATCCAGATTTACAAATGGGTGTTTTGAATTTTTCAAAAACAAAAATTAAATCAGATTTAAAATTTTTATTTTCAGTATTAAAAAATTATTTATGATTTCAGATGAGAAAAATTTAACAGTATGTGAAGATATTCATTTAAATGATATAGGTAATGAAGATAAAGCATTAGATATTATTATTCTAGATTTAAATACTTCAATGTTAATGGTGATCATGATAATATATCTGGTAAATTATATTATTTATATTTTAAAATTAATTAACTAATTTAGTATATTAGCATAGTCATGTGTAGACATTCTTGGGAAGAGGGGCAGACCTATTATAGTTAAATCATTTTTTTTTAATTAATATTTGTTATTCTGTATAATATGATGATTTTATTAAGGAAAAAACTTGGTTCGCAGGTAGGTTAGCTGCCACTCAGCCTTTTCCATGTGCAAATCTATGTGTATAAATTATAGAATAATTTGTTTTTGTTGTATTTACTATTGATTAAGGGCTGTTCTTCCAATCCCAGTTAAATGTGATAGCGCTAACTAGCAGAATTTCTTTTGTGTTTACCGATAGAATTCTCCCATAAATGACACTAACCTAACCGGAAATGTATGAACGGCTCTAAGTCCCTTAAGGTGACTCATAAGTATTTTAAATTATACTATTAAGATAGTTATATTTTTATATTCTAATAAACAGTGAAATAGTAAAATATAAAAATATTAATTTATTATAACTTAAATTCGCTTAAATATGATTTTACAAAATAGAAACAATTAATTAGTTATGATTTAGTGTAAAAATTTAAAAACAAGATAATTTTTGTAATCATTATCCTACTATCTTAAAATAAATAATTTATTGTTATTAAAATAACAATTTAAATAAAGTAAACTTTAATGTTTTAAATATGTAAAAAAAAAAAAAAACTTAAATAGAAGTATTAAATTATATTTAATACTTTATAAAAATTAATATTAATTAATAATATAATGTATATATTTTAGTATAGTTTGGAATTAATGGGTGTACGTATCTAATTTGTATTGTTTAATTTTATGTCAAGCGTGCAATGGTTGCATTGAAGATAAAACACTGACCCTAGTAGAAGATTTAGATAAAATATCAAACCAATATGAATGATTTCCTCATGATCCAGCTTTACTTTTATGTTCAAATATTTCAATTGAACGTTTTTCACAAATTGTACTTCAAGAAACATGTCAACCACAACCAACCTAGTTAAAAAACGGTATATTTCCTTTAAGAAAACAAGGAAAACATTCGAGGTTGTTCCATGAGCAACATTATTTTAAAAAGATTGCAACTGAAGAGTTTGTTAGACGTAAATGGTTATCTTATTCTCCAACTGAGGATAAAGTTTATGGTATAGTGTGCAAATAATTTGGCACAACAGATGGCAAATCTAACCAACTTGCTAGAAATGGTTCAAACGACTGGAGACATATTTTTTATAAACTTGATAATCATGAAGCATCACCAAACCATTTGCAGTCAAAGGTTAGAAAAGTAATGTATTTGAATAATCAAAGAGTAAATATAAAATCTTTATAAAACTGTAATACCAAAGTTACTGAAAATAGAGAGATTGTAAAAATAATATTAGAAATGTTACTATATCTCACTTGTCAAAATTCATCTTTTAGAGGTCATGATGAATCATGGCTATCTAAAAGTCAGGGAAACTTTCTTGAATTAATTAAGCTTTTTGCTAACCATAATGCATTACTTTCTTCTCATATCGCTACACTTGAATCTGCCGAGAAAAACATCATTGACCTATTTATCTATTAACAGTCAAAACACAATGCTTTTAGTTATGAGTAGGGCTCGGAAGTTGTTGCATTTGCATGTTTTTTTTGCACGATTGGATTTATTGCTAAGTGAGCTAGAAATTCGTTCCAAGACACTACGAAAACCATATCAAAAATTTATAGAGCATATTTTTGCATATTTAGTGATTTTTAGATTTTATAGCATATTTCTTAACTTTACAATTTCTTAGAGCATATTTTATGATTTTTGAAGATTCAGAATGAAAATTCAAAAAAATAAAAAATTAATTCATTCATATTGAGAGAACTTTCTTAATATTCTTGTATTGTATTTTTCAAATTTCCATTTGACATTAAAAACAATGTTTTTCTCCTATTGGTTTATATAATATACATATATTTATAAATTATAATTACTGCTAGCTACATCTAAAATAAAATATTATAAAAATATCAAATAGGAGCAGCTGCTATCGAAATACAATGATTTTCTATAACTATTTTTCTAGAAAATAATGATTATTGAACATTCTACTAGTGCATTTTATTTTATTCAAGAAACATTTTTAATGCTATTTTATTATTATTATTTTTTTTTTTAAATCAAAATTATTTTTATTACTTTGCTTTTTCTATATTTATAATTTTATAAAATATTTGTGCAAATGAAAATTTTGTGTACAAAAATAAAATATAAGTGCATATTTTTAGAGCATATTTGTACTTTTTTAAGCGCATAAGTGCATGCATATATAGTATTTTTTTAAGTGCATTAAGTTCCGAGCCCTAGTTATGAGTGATATAGTTCGTTCTCAAATATTAAAAAAAGTGAAAAAGGCAGGCATCTTTTCAATTATGATTGACACCACTACTGATGTTTCTAATATAGAACAGTTTTCTCTGATTTTGCGATTTATGGATGAATTTGGTGAAATAAAAGAAAGACTTGTAGCTTTAGAATCTACAAATGATCCAACTGCCAAAGGTATGTTTGATTTACTATGCAATATTTGTATTAAATATGATTTAAACTAGATGAATAACTTATGCACACAAGCATATGATGGAGCCACGTCTATGCAGGGGCAGTATTCAGGTCTTTGTTCATATGTACAAGAAAAAAAATCCTTGTGTTTTGTGTGTTTGGTGTTTTTCACATGTTCTGAATTTGGTAGTAGTTGATATGTGTGACAGATGCATTAGTATAAGAAATTTTTTTGGAGATATGCAAGTACTCATTTCTTTTATGAGAGCATGAAAACGAACAGCGATTTTTTTAGAAGAACAAAAGAAATATTATCCACATGATAGAGTTCTCAAAATAACAACTTTTCTTCAACCTGTTGGACATTACACGATAAAGCTATTTCAATTATTCATAAAAAATATAATACTGTAATGAACATTTTAGAAATATTGTCAAAATCTATGGATCGTGATTGTTCATCTACAGCTAAAAACTTGATAGAAATCTTATTATCTTTTAAATTTGTTACAAATCTTCTGTTAATGAAAAATATTTTTGCATTTACCACGTCTTTATCAAAATATCTTTAATCACCATTTATTGACTTTATTCAGGCACTATGTATTGTTGATTAAACTACTAAAAAAATAAAAATATTAGAACAGTTCAGTGTGCACATGATTTATTGATGGAAGCTTAACAATTCGCTAATAAGTAAAGGCCTAACTGAAATAGATTTTCCTCAAGAACGAGTTTGACGCAAAAAAAAAAGGATTCCAGGTGAAAATACATCCGATCATTGTGTTACAAAACCAGATGATAAGTTTAGAACAGAGGTGTATTTTGTCATTGTAGATCAAATTTTATCATCAATCAACAGTAGATTTGAAGGTTCTCGGACAATATTATATAATTTATCTCTTTTATCGTTTGATTGTATATTAAATGTCAATAAAGGATTGATAGTGCCAAATAATTGATTTTCTTCACTATTAAAATTGATACCTAATCTTAAATTTAATAAAATAAAAATTGAGTATTTTTAATTTTCTTTGTGTATTATGAAACTTCAGAAAGGTATGACACTGGAACAATCAAATACTATAAGATTCGAATCTACCCAATCCTGTAATGATTGTGAGAATAGTACTTTATCTGAAGATTTTGAAAATGAAGATAATACAACTGATAAAACCAAACTCAATTCCCTATAAATATTGAAACTTTTAAATCTTAAAACTTGATTTCAGCATTCCCCGATTTATATACAGTTTATAAATATTTTTGTACCATTCCATCCACTTCAGTGTCAAGTGAGTGATCTTTCTCTAAACTAAAATTAATTAAAACCAGATTGAGATCTACCATGCATCAAACCCACTTGGAAAGTTTAATTTTACTGTCATGCGAAAGGGATATTCCAATTGATTTAGAAGAGACATTAGATAAATATGCATCAACATCAACATTATTAAAAAAATCTTTATTATTTAAATAAAAATTTATTTTTGTCATAGTAGTCTTTTTTTAAAAAAAAAAAAATTTATTTTGAAGTATTCACAACAATCTATACAAAATATGAAAATCCCTAAACCTAGTTTTTTGTTATTATAACTTCTTTTTACTTATACAAAATATATAAAACTATAGATATTAATGATACTATAATATAATATTAAATGATTTAATGTGATAGTAAAAATTTGGTGCACTAGCATGCTGTATATGGTCCATTAGACTAGTTACAATTGGTGCTAACTTATATTTATACAGACCAATGTTGACTCAAATCAAGATACAAAATAATTTATGAATGCAACTAATTAAGTAGTTATATCCGATTATATAAATCTACAAACATTATGGATATTTTGTAAAAATTTTA